AACGATCATTGAACCCATTATGACTGTTGTATGCTAACAACCTTCCCAGGTCAAGCAGTGAGCGAGACGACGAATGTGTCAGTAATCTTAATTGTACATCATCTAATTCATTCATTCTTCATTCACATGCACTCTTCACAGTCCGCTGCTCATGTCAAAATCATCATGCAAATTGATCGACTTTCTGGCTCTCTCCGCGTATTAAAGAGTTCTCGAATATGTTTAATTTCTACCGGCCCTGTGACCCTTTCATTTTTTCTCTTCTAACCTAAAAACCATCCGCCCCGCCCTGTTTCTCGTAAAATTACTAATGGGATTGCTTTCCATGCATGTTACTTTTGTTGTATGTGCAAGCAAGGCTGATTACCTCACCCCTGTCAGTCCAAGGCTGAGCTCATAACCACTACCTCTTCAAAAACTCAGACTGATTGATTACTGACTCCTGCTGAATCGTATCCTCTCTGCAGAGGGTAAGTGATATGCTAGTTTAGTATCCTCTAGTAGCGCAGATATAAACGCTGAAGCGCACCAGTTCTCTGAGCTCATCGTATTGCTGTCCTAGAGAAATTTTCTTTAATGACATGAGATGATGACTAAGCCTCTCCAAGTGTCCAACTCAGACTATTCTTAGCACGGTACTATGAAATCCAGTTTATGACAATTAAATCCAATTCATAACAATTAAATTTATGACATTGCAGGTTTTGCCAATATAGGCAAATATTTACTATCGTGGCAATAATTATGAAAGTATCAATTAAAGAAAATGAATATGCATAAACTGACTGATCAATTTCAAGTTCGATACTGCAACTAGACAACAGCTGCTACAGGTACTCAGACCGTCTGCTTCAGTATCCATAAAATGGAGGAAATGAGTGTCAGGGTGATAATCCTCTGAGGTTAGATGCAGCAGCAGCTTGCTGAAGCATAGCAGTCAGTATTTAATAGATGTAACTCTTTTTTAGTTCATTCTCAAAAAGTCAATGGTTCAGCGTTCAGAATAGAGTGACACTCACAAACGCAGTCATACTTTCTTAAGAATGAAGCACTTCGAGACCGAGTATAACTTCGCTTTAAACTTTGCATATACTCTGTTGCGGTTTCAGCGTTAGGATCTTAGGAATGGACATGGTTCCAAGGTCGGAACGAACAGGCACCGAATAGACCTCACCTCAGTTTGTCTTTTCTCAACAGGTCAAGGACTCACTGGCACTCAAAATTAGTGCCGAACCAAACTATGGTTATGGAATCTCCAGAGCCAGTAGACACATTAATTTTAAACTGTACACATACCGTTTCGTTCACATCAACGGGACTACTGAGTAAAGTAACGTAACAAAGGTCAGATGTTACGGGCACCAGTGGATGTGACCTCCAGTTTGTCTCCTTTATAGACTTGGATTCAACAGCACTCAGATAAACTGTCATAGTTTCCCATGAATGAGGAACGTTGAGGGAGTGAGTTTTATTATAACCTTTTTGGGCACTCTGCCAAGGGTGTACCAAAGTCAGATATAAACGGGCACTGAACAGATCTGGCGTCAGACCTCTTTGGCACTGCGAAAGCCAGTGAATATTCGCTTTAAACTTTAAATCTCGCACCTCACCTCAATCTTGCATTTCTTATCTTTGCGCTGTGAGGAGGGATAAAAGCGGCAGCGAAGGCGCCTCTGGCAAGTGTCAACGGCCGTTTCAACGGCTGTTTAACGAAGAACGACGACAGTCGTCGAAAGCCACGGTGTTACCTCGGGAAAGAGCTAAGATCCGGTCTGCCCGCCCGGTCAGACCCTCCATTCTTCGTTCGACCGGTCGTTGCTTGTTGCTTACCGAAATTCGTCGATGCAGACGAACAACTGCTCGCCTCGACTCGTCCACCTGTTGTTCCCCCACCACTCACTGTACACAAACACACAAACACGACCGACGGAAAGTGAGCGAAGTCAGCGCTTCGGTGTCACCGGCTTCACGACGACGGCCAGAGTACACAAACAGTCACCATGTATAGATGATGGCTGTTTTAAAGCGCTGTCTCCGTCTCCGTCGTCGTCGTCTACGGCCACGCATGGTGACGGTGTAGGAAAACAGGTTTTTGTGTATGGCCTTTATCGTAGGTAGTAGGTAGTGAGTTATCACCGACTGGTGGTGGTGCCATCGACCGCACGATCGGCATCGGCTGGCCTGCCGACCGGTCCACTGGTGTTGTAAGTGGCCAAAAGTAGTGTTATAGGCGCAAATGAACGACCATGTTTGTTCTTGGTTCAGGCTGAACGTGTAAAAACCGCGCCCGGCTGGCTACAGCCTACAGCAGCGGGTGCCGTCGTGTGGTGCTTGTGACTAAGCAAGCCTGAACACTCTCGACGACAGTCGACAGCCGCTTTGAACGAACGTTGCGACGCTATCGACTGGCCAGCTTTCCTGTAATCCACCTGGGACGGTACGGCAGAGACGATAGTCATAAATCTGAATGATAATTAAAGTAAGGAAATATTACCCTTCAACCCAGAAGCAACAAATGGGCCGTAGTTTCCGTCAGAGAATCTTTCGCTTTAGTCGGCTGAACTTAAACGCCCTAGGCAGCCTATGGAGCCGTTGCTGCCATTCATTCCTCTTAATCAGAAGATAGCGTATTTCGTTCTGCGCTACTGCTCATTCCAAAATATAGCATAAAACGTTTCTTTATATAAAATACAATTCACCGGTCTATTGGGGTGCTGGACCAATACCAACGTTGCGGGCCGTATATCAAAAGCAAGCCTTCTTCGAGTGAAATGGTTGGTTATTTGTTGGCGACCATGTGAGTGTTGACAGCACTAGCCTGGACTGTTAGTTTTTAGAATGTTTCTTGAACACTGCTGCAGCCACTACTAGTAAACCGCCAAGAAGCACCCGTCGTCCCTATCTTGAAGAAGACCGATAAATCTGTCACCCATCTGCATAGGGTTCCGGAAAATGAAGCCATGGAAGAAAAGAACTTCAGGACTTTTTTAATCAACCGTATTAGGAATCACGACAGGACTTCAGATCAGAGTGCAACCCAGTTCTCCCGTACCTCAAACTTCATTTTGACCATTATTCGCTGTCTGCATGTAGTCAAATGCATATTTCGATGAATATGAAAGCATCTGCAGGTGCTCAACAGGTGACCTATTTCATGAAGGAGAAGCAGGTGAGTGCACAGATGGTTTTGAAAGAGAATGACTTGACGGCGGAAGAATGTTACGAACATAAACAAACCACCTTAATGAATGTTCTGACAGAAATGGGAAGAAAATATGATTGAACCCTGAATATAATTAGCACTTTTATTTACAGAGTGAAATTCATTTGCCAGTTTTCCTTGTTTGAAATTCGTTCCGCTCTCACAGTCCGTTTAACAGTCAGATTGTAATCAACAGAGAAGCCATTTTGAAACTCATTGCCACCTCAACAAACTATCTCATCGCATAACGTATCAGACGAAGTATTGACGGTTTTTCTTCCTTGACGTCAACTACGTTTCTTATTAGCGCCTCATAACTCATATTTAGAAAAATGCTTTGAATGAGGTGGTGGAACAAGTGGTTGAATTCTTCGACACAACGTTGTCTGGTCACGGGTCGATTAGACGTGCAGCGTTGTTAGAGACAAGCATTTGTAAATGCAAGGCGTGCTACGTGGTGGTCCTTTGTGCTTCGAATGATCTGCCGGTATTTGCTTAATGTATACGTGCATTCGCTGTGAAATGCATGGTATTATTCTGTGCTGTAAGACACCTTCGTCGTGTACGCACAATCAGCTGGGGACCGGTTCTTCGACCAGGTAGAAATCGTCACGCATGGTGTGGCAAAGACTTTTGCAGGGAGTCGACTGGCGCAGCGTCTGATTGGCCAGGATCAGGCGTTTCTCGAACGATCCCCTCGTAAGATGCCATGGAGAATGAGCGACCGACCTCTTTCCATTGCATCGAACAGAGACCAACATGGAAAACTGTTGCCGTGATCAGAAGCCGGTATCTGGCTTGGCGGACAGGACAAAAATTTCGTTGAGACTCTTTCAGGGTACGATCAGGTGGGTGGGGGTGTCGCCATTTTTCTGT